TTTTTTTTTTTTTGGAGAGATTTTCACTGTAGGGCGCGTGCGCTCGCCAGACAGACAGAGAGAGACATAGAGACAGAAAGCGAGAAATCACCCCCCAGGGGGGATGGTCACGCCGCAATCCCTTCTCCTCCATTCTCCTCTCGGGATCTTGGGCACGCACGCACACGCGTCCGGCGTGAGTTTTAAGCCACCGGGTCCGGGACACGAACCGCGGTCGACTATGTGGGAGTCCAGCGACATAGCCATGACGCTAACTGCTGGTTCCCCTTCCATACATTTTTTTTTTTTAACTGCCCTTAGATATCCTGGAGTTACCATCTTCCTGTAACTTCCCCAGGTGCATCCTGTTTCTTGTGAAAACTGCAGCTGCTTCGAATTAACCCTATAGGGCGTGCACTGTATTTCTACATATTGAAAACTAGATTAGAATTTTTTGCCATAGGGGATGAGTGCTCGCTAGAGAGAGACACAGAGACAGAGAAAGTGAGAAATCACCCCTGTCACAATCCCTTCTCCTCCTTCCTCGGGATTTTGGGCACGCATGCACACATGCCTGGCATGTTTCCATTTTTTGGGGGGGAGAGGTTTTTGCTACGCACACTAGAAAGAGAGTGACAGAGAGACAGCAAGAAATCACCCCCTGGGGGGATGTTCCTTCTCTTCCATTCTCCTCTCGGGATCTTGGACACATGCATCTGGTGTGAGTTTAAGCCACTGGGTCCAGGACTTGAACCGCGGTCGACTACATGGGAGTCTAGTGACATAGCCATTACATCAACTGCTGGTTCCCATTATTATTTTTTATTTGACCAGAATAAGAGAAAGGGAAAGTGAGAAAGCAAATTGCCGGGTCCAGGATTCAAACTGCAGCCAACCACGTGGGAGTCCAGCACCTTAGCCACTATGCCACCTGTCAGTCCCTGGAAGGTCTTGAGATGAGAACCTGGAAACTTCCCATGTGGGTCAACGTCAATGAGTGTTGTGTTCCACCACTGCCTGGCTCCCTACAGGTTTTATTTTATTCTTATTATTTTAAAATAGTTACTTCATTTATTATTATTCTTACAATTTTAAATGTGCTACAGGGCACATGTGCTCGCTAGAGAAAGAGAGAGGAAAGTGAGAAAACAAGCGAAAGTGAGACAACAAGCCACCAAGTCTGAGACTCGAACTGTGGTAGACCATGTGGGTGTGTCCAGCACCCTTAAACACCATGCCACCTGCTGGCCCTGAGTACTCATTTTATTTTGAATTAATTTTTATATATTTTAAATTAATTTTGTAACAGAGTTATTTTTATTTAACTTTATTATTATTTTCCAGTTTGATCAGAGAGAGACAGAGAGAGAGGGAAAGTGAGAAAGCAAGCCACCAGATTCAGGACTTGAACCACGGTTGGCCATGTGGGAGTCCAGCGCTCTTAGCCACCATGCCACCTGCCAGCCCCTTATGTTTAGTTTTAAAAATGATGATTTCTGATTTATATATCTCTGTGGGCTACAGGTTTTTTTTTTTTTTTTCACTATAGGGCATGTGTGCTTGCCAGACAGACAGAGAGAGACATAGAGACAGAAAGCGAGAAATCACCCCCCAGGGGGGATGGCCACACCACAATCCCTTCTCCTCCATTCTCCTCTCGGGATCTTGGGCACGCACGCACACGCGCCCGACGTGAGTTTTAAGCCACCGGGTCCGGGACGTGAACCGCGGTCGACTACGTGGCAGTCCAGCAACATAGCCATCACACTAACTGCTGGTTCCCCATCGTGAACCTTTTGAAGTCCTCTTGTGTAATTTATGGATTCTTCATGCTGACAGTACCGACGACCTGGGGCCAGGGCAGAGAACGTTCGCTGACTCCTACTCTGCGGCGTGGCTCGCTGGCGGGTCAGTTCCTTCACACAGCCTGTCTCCATAGTCCTGCTTGCCTTGTCACCATCGCAGGACTCTGTGACCCAATCCCCGTGGTGAGAGAGAGCGGACCCCTGCCGCCCTCCGCTGCCCCCTGCAAAAGCAACCGCCCTGTCCCTCCAGGTGTAGGCTACGGGGGTCTCTGTGATTTCTCTGAACAACCCAGACATCTTCCCAGCATGGGATCTTTGCACACGCCTTTCTCTCCCTGGGTACTCTTGAGGCGGATGGGACCAGACCCGTGCACAGCTGGGATACGTCATATTAAGAAAGAGAAGCTTTAAAGTCATTTTGTGAAATGACACTGCTGCCATCTGGTGGCCACTTCCTCTAATTGTAGCATATTATGTGTGTGTGTATGTATATGTATATACACACATATATACATGCATACATATATATTTTTATTAAATGATTACTTAATTTAATCTAATTGAATTAATTCATTCATTTATTTTAATTTGACCACACTCATGCATGCATACGTGCACGCGCGTGCACACACACACACACACACACACACACACAGAAAATGAGAAAGCAAGACACCAGGTCCAGGACTCAAACCGTGATCATCTATGTGAGAATATCCAGCACCTTAACCACCATACCACCTGCTGGTCCCCAATTAATTTACATTTTTTTGGAGAGATTTTTGCTATAGGGCGCGTGCGCTCGCCAGACAGATAGAGACAGAGAGACAGAAAGTGAGAAATCACCCCCCAGGGGGGATGGCCACGCTGCAATCCCTTCTCCTCCATTCTCCTCTCGGGATCTTGGGCACAC